GGGGGGATGAAAAACGGCAAACTTATGCCTCACCAAACTGCGTCAAAAATACAAACAAAATAGCAGAAATGTCTCTTCTTACCCATAATTGTAACCCCAAATTAGGCGACTCGAGATAAATATGAATTTTAATGAAGATAATGATAGTTTAACCAGCTAAGAATCCACAGATCATTCTTTTATTGTCATATTAATTTTTTGCCGTATTTATGGAACTCTTGGCAAATGAACACCAAATTAAGTGCACACAATTGGAGTTAAAATGCGCTTAGGTACCTATAGCGGATTTCTACTGGATCGAGTCTTGATTTATCCTCGGTAATCCCTATACCATGTCCCCTTCAACAATGTAGAGAAAACTGACGTGCGGTATGAAACACGTTTAACTGGGTTGTATACGTCTGTCACAGATCTCATTCACTAAAACAAAATGAAGAGTTTGTATGAAAACTCAAGAATTATTGAATGATACCTGGCTGACGGTTTTTTGCGCTCAAGGCCACTCTTGCTCCCTACACGACGCACATTCGAGTCTGTTTGAGTGGGTATGAGATTTCTTTATTTGGCCATGTTAGCGTTGTGCACTTAACATACCTAAGTATCACTATCTCCAATTTTGCAAGGAAGGGGTGTGTGATAGACTCACCTCCACGTGGTGCACCCTGGTCAACGTATACTCATACGGCAAAAAAGTCTATTATTCGGCAGCTGACTTCCGACTTCAAAACACCATCACCTCACTGTATGTCATAGTCGACTACTTTCACAGTACTCACCTCAACTTTTTCACTCTACCTTTGTGTCTCTCTCTTTTACATCTTTGAAATACTCTTCTGTTCCCCTCCCCCTCTCGACTTTTTTTCACTTTGATGTTCCTTCTTCTCTGTGAAGCCTGAAGTCAACTAAAGGGCTTATGATAACTATCAAAATGCCTGCCATTTGATATAAATAAACAAATAAATAAATTTTGCAAGGAATGGATCGGCTGATGTTCTTCCACACAATGGATACCTTAATCAGGAGAGATTTCAAGACTTCAAGATGCATCGAAGTTAAAAGCTCAAACGAAGTGGAAGCAGTGGACAGTGGCACTCATCAGCGACAGAATCCCAGAGATACTGGGAAGCCAGAAATCAACGAATTAACTACTTTTGACTGTCCTAATTCCTGTATATATATATATGTCCGCCCCCCCCCCCCCATTGTGAAAGCCGAAGTCAACTAAGGGACTAATAATAGATATCATAAAACCTGCCATTTGAAATAATAATAATAATATCTTCTAATCTGAATATCTACGTAATGAACAGATATTTCGCCTTGTTGGTAGATAGGAATAAGTTTTTAAAACCATTATTTAATTCCCTAATACCTTTAATGTTTGCCAGTAATAGAAGAACTATATATATTCACCGGTTTAAGTCAGAATGATAATTATTTATTGAAGGTGATAAAAGGTAGAGTGAGGTTATGCATATATTCGGTTAAATCAAAGCAGAAAAGGTTTCTCTTACGAACAAATAGTTCATGGTAATACACAAGGTATGCCGCCCAGTTTGGCACAGGACAAGCAAAATATGTATTCATATATAAACGAGCTAATATGTGATAGTAAAGAGTAATGGCCATTGTATATTGCCGTTGAAATTGCCAAAAACACTGATGTAGGCATTATCAACATTGTACATTTAATTTAATTACATTGACATCACGATATGCTCATAACTTAAACGCACAAGGCCATTGTTAAAGACATATTGTCGATATATTTCGCAACGAATATTAGGCATCATTTCAATAGGCTTGCTTTAACCCTGAACTTCTCTAAATGCGATGTTGTTGCATGATGCTTTGCTATGAGTTTTATTAAGTGTAAAATTAGACTACTCGTTCTTCAATGAGTATATGAGGTCACGAGTGCAAGGGTCTCCTGATCAAATCGCTATCCAAATTAAGTTCCATGTCAACTCCCTGCTCCGCACACACGCATCCCCACCAACTGCCCAAATAAATGCATACTACTTCATCAAACTATTTTGTCTATATTGATTTTGTGGCTTAGCTAACTTTGGAAGTCTCTCCAAACTTGGGAATCTTTCATTAGAGATTAGTGAGGATAAGTTTGGCTTGATCATGTAGCCAACTGCTATTAGTTTTGACACCTAAGTTGATCAATTTAGCAAGAGAATTAAAAGGTCAATTTGAAATTATTTACAGTTCTTTATTTATGCCAATATGTGAGCTAAGGTAAGTTCAACTTTTAGCGAAAACGTTTGAAACAGTATAAATACATTGATATTAAAATGCGTATACAGGAAACGTACCTTAATTTGGAATCAAAAATGTATTCGATAGGCAACTGATTTTAGTACTAATTTATGTTTTGTTTAGACAAAGTAATAATTGCCGACGAACCGTCAATGTAGATTTGATTACTCTGCAGGTTAATAATAATTCGGTTCATACCTTCTTTAATATTTATCTTACTTGAACACTTTTTTATTAGTGTTAGTGAATGAGTAAGAAGCAATATAATTAAAATTTCTCTACCCACAAGTCAATATTTTTCAAATATAGTATAACTCAACTTATTCATTTAAATAAATTGATACATTAAAATCTTTTCTTCACATGGAAGGTAAATTTGTTACAAAAATTTGCAAGTATTCAAAGGGCCTTCCTATATAGGGAATCAAAAATTATTGTTTTCAGACGGTAAATAAACAATTAAACGCTTAAATTAGGATAAGCTCAAGAAGAACTACTTTAATAAGTTTCAAAACCCAAAATATGGTCTAAAAATAACTAAAGTATGACTATTATCAACACAGAACCCATCCAATTGCTATTTACCTTGAGATATTCAATGACCTAGAAGCTTGTGTTGAAATATCTTCGATAAAGCCTCGAGTGTGCTGTTCGCCCCTTTTGTCAATTTGTAAATAACTTTGACAGTAAATAATGTACTACATTCTATGATTTCCTTAACAGAATCATATTTAAATTTTACTAATTATTTATTCTTTGCGGATTCGATCAATTCGCTTTCGTGATACCCCTAAATAGTTACGGCAGTTATTATGCTAGATTATTGTGTTTTGATATTTATTTTCTAGCAGGATGCTACCGAGATGGTGCAACTTACTTTCCTCCCATCAAATCTGTAAAATGATAGGCTTTAGTTTTGCCTCAAAATCCGCTTCATCTTCATCAAGCTTAGCTCAACTTCGTAAAGCAACTGGCCACCCATTCGGATTTTGTCGAGAAGCCCTGTCAGTTTGTGATGGTGATTACAATCGGGCCTTTGCGTGGCTCCAGAATGAAGCCACTAAACGTGGAATGGCTAAGGCAGAAAAGCTCAAGTCACGACCAATGACACAGGGCCTTCTTGGAATGATCTCTTCTCCTCGATGTGTCGCAGTTGTTGAAGTAAATTGTGAAACCGACTTCGTTGCCAGAAATCAGGATTTTCAGTCTCTTGTTGCTTCTTCAGCTGAATCACTGTTCGAACACTTATTGGTAGGTATTCATGTTTTAAACAGAACCCTATCTCGAGACAATAAGGAAAATCGGCGTGAAGTTAGCGTTTTCAGACCCCTGTATGCCAGGTTTATTCCTGGGAAAGCTAAAATGCAATGAATTGTAAAACTGACAAAACAGTATACGTTTAATATGATCTACTTATTATTAATCTTTTGGCAACTATTTTATGACGAGACATCAATCGTGAACTCCTGAAAAGAAGTAGACGAGTTTGGTTTGCAAATAGGATCAACTGCTTACGTACCAATTCACTTAAGATATAATTCGAATTTCCTGTTATATATCTTCTGTTTACATTTCATGACTTTATGAAAACTGAGTAGTTTATAATTTATTGTCATCATATTGCATGGTGATGGCTGAACTCTACTACATACTTAGTTGAATTCGTATTCCCTTTACGATATCAATTCGATTCATTAAGACATTGTACTGATTGTCGCCGTTAGTTTTAGAGGAATTGAAAGCCAATTCACTTGTAAAAAATATTTTTGCAATATTTTTAACATCGTACAGATATTTCAATGTCCTAAAGAGCCGAGTCTTCATATTTGCTCTCTATTTTCGGCTACATATACATTAAATTTGGATTGTAGTCAAATAATTTAGGTGGGGTGCTACAATCGATGTGAAAAACGCTTTATTTAAAATTTTGTCAGAACTTACATAGTTTTAGAAGAGCAATCTTAATTCAAGAAAATACGATAGCAGTAGGTATAATCAATTGTTATCGGTGAATTCACTTTTCAGGAAGCTAACCAACCCGGTACTCGCCAGTTCTCAGAAGAAGATCTGAAAACCATTCCGAACGTCGTTGGATCTCAACGACAAACAATCGGTGAGCTCTTAGCAAACGTCATTGGATCACTTGGGGAGAACATGGCCATTCCTCGAGGCATAGGAATGGCTCTCTCAGGTGATAAAGCCAACGAACTCAGCCACCTCATTGCTTATTGTCATATGAGCAATGCTGGGATCAAGAAAGGCTTTCGTAATGTCGTTTTCGGCAAATATATCGCCGTACTTCGATATCGACACTTGAACAATCAGAAAGGAAGTGCCGCTTGGCAGGAACAGGCTTCTCGATTCACTCAACAGTTGTGCCAACACATTGTCGGAATGAATCCGTGTAGAAACCTTTCTCTTGAAGCTATTCCACAGGCGGAAAATCCGGATGAGGAAAAGTGCCTACTTCGGCAGCCGTTCCTTTTCGATGAATCAGTCGCTGTTGGAACTCTGTTGGAGCAAAATGAAATCCTCGTGGAAGATTTTGTTCGTGTGGAGTGTGGCGTTGAAGAAAAGGAGTGACAAGTACCCCTTGATGCACCTTATTTCTGTCTGTACCTAGATTTTTGTAGCGTAAAAGTTGACATCATTTTCTGTCTCACTTGACTTTTGTCTGATTGTGCCATTATTAAAATGCTTGAAGTAGCTTTATTGGTGATTATCAACCGGTGGTCATGGAAACACATACATGAATACTTAATTGACATTGTTAAGAAGCCGAATTAAACATTTTCGATGATCTCAGACTTGGATATATAGGACCACTGGTGAAACTCCATTGCTGTCAATAGTAGCCCATCAGTCAGTCAAGTATTTAACCCACATTCCTTTCTAATTGCGTGCATTTCGTTCTCAAGCCTGAAGGATTGTAGCTCCCTAAGGTAGTCAACTGAGCAATTCATGGAAATGCCGATGCAGTCATTTGCGAGCACAAAACAATGGCTTATTACATTCCAGTAGTTTCAGACTCACCAAAAACAAGCCTCAAGCAAATCTACTGGGAACACTGGTGGGAAGGTGCTTCTTTTATCGGACAACCTACGTTCGCTACCCAACATCAGGTCTAAGCTAGCCTATTTGGCTCACGGAGATTTCCAAAACATACGAGAGGGTATTCTACCCTCTAGAGGACTAACGTTTTCCATGGAGACACCGTAAACAGGACTCTAGATAAACACAAAGGGCCAACGCGATGAGTTTTGGTGGTATCAGGAGAAGGCTAAAGATGCGTTGGAAACGTTTCAAACGGCAATACCGACGCTTCTAATACGAGTCTAGCACCAAAGGAGCTTATATTGAAAGAGAATTGCGCTAATGAATCAAGCAGGGAAGCCTTCCCCTGTTATTTGCATAGACCGACACTAAAACCAAGTCGAGTTTCGGAGAAGCATGAAACTATTTAAATAGGTGAAGATGTCACGTTTATAGTGGGTTAAATAAATTGCGATTTTAAGGCTTATTCTTGAATTTGACTTTAGAAGACATGGAACAGAAGGGTGCGTAGGATTCTTTCGAAATGCTTGAACAATTTGCTAGTAATTGGGCCGACATAGCATTAATACCTTCCAGTTTTTCAATGGTAGCAAATCTGAGAAAAGATGTGTCAACTTTTTAAAAAAATCTATTCCTTGAGCTGGAATTAATGCAGTGTGGAGTAATCGACCTTGCAATCTGACTATTGAGTTCAGCTCAATCTTGAAGTGGGCTTATCTGAATATAGACATCAATTGAGGCAACCTCTATCTACATCAGACTCAGTGTTACTCATGGGCTGCATTCCGAATTGTCATGGTATCATTTCCCCCTGGGTCGAAATGCCGCACTGGGCTTAAGAATCTACATAAATTATATACTTTTGAAGTCAGTACATCTTCTAATATCCTAACATTTGATCTACGCTTCTTATTTTATTACGTTCTGTAGTGAGAGTTGTACTTAAGCCAATTTAGTAGTTATTATTTCTTTCTATTTATGAATGAGATACAGATAAACTTGTCTTCATCTTAGTTGCTTTTCGCAAAATTTAAGCTATAATTTACCCGTGGCTATCTACTCATTCAAGATGGCAAATACAGGCTAATGTTTTGACTTGTGAGCACATTTATTCACCAATGAAAGAATGAGCAACTCCACGGTACCTCAAATTCTATTGGTTCATTAATCTGGCATTTTCAAGCCATCATTTATTCTCACATCAGCGATTTATTAATCATTAACAATGAAGTTGCTCTGAGATCGATTAGTTCTCTCTACTTTCAACCCGATTTTTCATATTGGATTAGCATTGATAGAGGGTAGTGTGGAAACCCCACACCTTATCCTTCAACTGAATTGAGATGGTTATATTATTCCATATGGGGTAAACCATAGACTTACCTCCACGTGGTGCACCCTGGACCACGTATATTCATACGGAAAAATGTCCATAAACAGGAAGTTGACTTCTGACTTCTAACCACCATGACCCCACTGTATGCTATATTCGACCACTTACACAGTACTCACTTCACCTTTTCCCTACCTTTGTGTCTGTCTGGATCTTTTACATCTCTGAATCACTCTTCTATTGCCCCTCTCAACTTTAGGTGACTGTCTTTTCCTCCCCTTTGTGAAGCTCGAAGTCAACTAAGGGACTAATGGCAGCTATCCTTCAGTCTGTCATTTGATATAAATAAATATTACGCTATATAAGCTGCTGGCCTTGTTCGGTATGTAATAAATTGCATTTTATTTCCAAAACGCATCTAATTTTTAACTTATCGAAAATGTTGTCTTATTGCCATGCTATCAGGACGGTTAAATTGAACAAAAGGAAAGTAAGTGGAAGAGAGTGAAATTTTATGCAACTTCAATCGAATTCACTGTCTATTAAACTATAATCTTGGAACATTGATTTCGTTTACCTAGGGTCATATTAAAGCAGAGTGCGACTGGGAGGGTAAAATTTGAACTCATGTGGTCAATATCGGCATACAATTCAATGTAAGTCCCTTCCACTCTTTTTATTTCTAAACCAATAGCAAACACAAAACCGTTTTATTAATCAAGAAATATACACCACTCCCTTTAAAGGAGAAATACAAATTGTCGTTAGAACGTCTCATTTAATTCAACCGCAAGTTTCTTCAACCTCAGGGCGAATTTCCTCTGTGCTTGCATGTAGGCTTCCAAAGGTGGGGGATTCTGAAATAAATAAAAGACTTCATCACTCCAACTTCATAGGACCCTAATTGACTTTCTATATTCACATCACTGAAGTAATTATAATTAACCACCTAGTAAATCAATTTCCAATAATTTGAGATAATAATAAATTCGCTTCCTAAATTAATAAGTAAACTATTCAATGGATTAGTTTTCCTCCATTCCTTCATCGTCGAATCATTTGGAAATATTGAAAAGTTAGTCCGGGCCATATGATTCATCACTCTGGGTATATGAGCATTTTTAGATACTTAATCTAGAGTCAGTAATCATCAGAAGGATTTAATCAATGAAGTAGCTGACAAAATGCACGAAAACAAGCTT